AAGGAAATAAAAAAATGACCTAAGAAAGTGGAAGCCCCCACCCCCTGCACGCACGTATACCATTTTCCTCCGAGTTCCCAACAGCATCTTTGTTAATAGCTGAGTACTTTCACTTAAGGGCGCTAAATTGAGATTCCTTTTTAATGGCTAAACTGTAGCGCTTTATAAACCATGTTCTCTGTGTGCTTTAATCCACTGGGATAGTGAAGAGGAAAAAGGCTTCAACTCTTTTCACGGGAAAAAAAAGACACAGGAGGAACATGAAAGCCCTTCATTTACCATATGAAATTTCACTTTCTATCAAGTTAAAATAATTTTTAAAAGTTGGTCCCTGTCCCAGCTGACACACATGCACAGCAGGGTGAGCCAACACAGGGGGTTAATTAGTTTAGGAGGAGAAAAAGAAAAAAAAAAGGGGGGGGGGGAACAAGTGAAAGGAGCAGCATTGAACACCGCAAAAATCTTTGGCTGCTTTTTTGCAGCTTTGATTTTAGATTGCTTTCTAACAATTTCTTAGTCAAGAGAACCGAGATCTACAGGGACTTCTGTGGAAAACAGAATTATGAAAAAAAAATTCAGGTCTAAAATTATATCCCAAGCAATGAAGCGCTTTCTTCTATGGGAGCCAAGTCATCTAAAAACTTCTTTTTGAGAAGAAAACTGATGAACTTCTCCCACAGCCTGAGGTCTGAACAAATACATGGAGCCTTCAATGGAGCTAGGTTACTTTTGCACGGCCACGTTACAAGTAAAGACCTCTTCTTTGGTGATACCGAAACTATTTGAAATAAGACACGCTTGTATATCTCGAGAAGCAAGGCTCCGGGCTTGCACTGCTTCGGTTAAAAAACAAGTTTGGAAGCTACAAATATTTAAACCACGTCCTCTAAGCTGGCTGTATGGGCTGTATCGCAGTCAAATGATTCCACGCAAGTTTAGAAATCTGGCATCTTTAGGGGGGGGGGGGAACACACACCAAATCGCATTCACTGATGACTAGATCTTTTTAAAAAATCTGTTAGAAAACTATAGCTGTAAAAGTAGGAAAGGATTTGCATAACCTACTGCTCTGTAGGTCTCCGCGCACCCAAAGGATTAGCCAAGCATTCATTACCATGAATATCTTGAATTACGTTACCGATTTATACGACAGAGTATAAAATACTGCACAAGAAGACTGGCTTTTTCCCTGCGAAATGAATCGACTTAACCACTGCTTGAAAGAGATCTACATACTAAGGGCTTTTTTACTCACCTCTCTTTACAGTCCCGTGAAAGTCAGTCACAGCAATTCGGTTGCTCTTAGGACTAGCTTTAATCTTGGAGGAGATCCTCTAGGAAAAAAAAAACCGGGTCTGCTCTCCGGCTTCTGGCGGGTTTTAAGCAGGGTGCAACTCTGGCTAAAAGTAGGAGAGGGACTTTTCTCCATATTCCCCCCATACTTGTAAATACAGCCGTGCTCTGCAGGGCTCGGCGCTATCGGAACACGCAGGAATGCCCACTGGCGTTTGTCACTATCTTTCTTTATATGTGAGGGCTGATTTCCCGCAGACATCATTGTTATGATGGCTCATTTAATCAAACTGTTTAATTGCTCCGGTAATCACTATCATCATCACAGGTACTCAATCATTCATCATTTTGGAGGGGTTTATTGACCTCTGGAGCTCATTCCCTACGCCTACTAAAATCAGGCCAAATATCTATAACTACCCCTTGAGTCATTTTCTTAAAGTTTAAAAAACAGAAGAAAAATCTTAAAATCATCGTCATCATCACGACAAGCAAAACAAACCAAAGCAAAACCTAACCGAATAAATAATATTTTTCTGCCGTGTATTTTTAAAAGCCATCTATGCATGAGGCCACATTCACAACCGGGTACATAATCATTGATAAATCCCACTATTAACGGGATAGTCTGTTTTAGATTTTATGTGCAGGGGACCGTGAACGAGGGTGGGGGGTTGGGGAGGACAAAACTGCAGCAATCGATAGTTTGACCATCGCTCCTCCCCTAAACTTCAAGCCTCCCCCATGATTGATGATCCCGGGTAGCTTTGGTAATTGACTGCTCTGAGGTAAGGCACGGTTTAGCTCCAGCAAAGCGATTGGGCGAAAGAAACACACCAAAATTAACGTGTGCGTGTGCGCGCGCGCGCGCGCGCGTGTGCCCGTGTGTATGTGTGCGTGTGAGTGCGTGTGCGTGTGTGTGAGAGAGAGAGCGTGCGTGCGTGTGTGTGAGAGAGAGAGAGTGCGTGCGTGTTTGGAAAAGTTCATTCGGTGCTCAAGGGTGGGGGGTGCATCATCTCACTTAATTTGCTAAATAACCCCACTGTAATTAGCACTACCATTAGAAGGCATTACCGAGCTAATACTTCAGCATACATTCCACAAGCGCAACGTCGATATACGGCAAAGTCCAGCAACATACACACGTAAATACAGCGCTCACCGCCGGATCCGCTCGAAATGAACATGCAAACAAAAAATCTACATAACATCTGGATCTCTCCTACAAAAGGCTGAGCATGACTTTGTTTTTACGCCCTTTTCAAAGCCTGGCAGCCTAATCACAAAACTAAATTGGATTTCCCCCGCTTCCCCCCCGCCTCTC